GGAATCCTAATTCTAGACTAATGGTGAGTTGCAGTAAATAAAATCCATTGCAGGGCTAAATTGCTAAATGTCGTGACAAAATTATTTTGTGAAAAGCATTGCAATTTGTTGAATTGACAACTCTATGTGATAAATAATATTTTATTTTGGATGAAATGAGCTGAAAAAAATGTGGACATCTTAAGAACACAGAGCAGTGTCTAGCATGTAGCAAGACATATAAACATTTCATTTATAAACAAATAAATACATAAAAAAATTTAAAAAATCATTTAATATGGTGCTCCTGCTGTGCATTTTCGAGAGAATTGATGGGCTAGCTAAGGACTGCAGATTGAAAAACAAAAACAAAAATGAAAAAACACACAGAATTTCTGTGGATAGAAAGAGTATCTTAGGAAGGTTTTCATTTAGAAAGAATAGCTAAGCAAAGTAGTTGGGCTTTAAAGTATTAATGTTGGAAACCTCCTGTATTCTGATAGGATAGTGGTGATTGGTATTACAATAAATCTGAGTTTCTAAAGGCAGATAGCTGGTAAGTGATAGTGTATTGTAAAATTTGTAAAAAAAATCCCTCTTGGACATGTCTTAATCAGTTAATCATATGTGTATCATTTTTAGTCTATGAATAGTATATCTTATTTTTATAAACAGCTCTCCAGGAATTTGATTTAACTTATTTCTGAGTTGGCTACATCTCTCTATAGTTTTAGTCTGCACACAAAGTGCTTGGCATCTGCTTATTCTCAATGCCAGTAAGACAGAAAGACTGGAGAGTAACATTATTTGGTAGCACCTAAGAAAGGGCATGCGACCTGATTAATTATACAGAAAAAAGGTGGGATCAGGCCTAGTTTTTAATTTTTTTAGAAATCATATTCTCCTTGGTTCCAACAATGAATTGCCCTGACATAGCACAATCAAGAATATGGCAAGCCTTCAAAATAAGTAACGGCTAAAATGTCACCTTGAAATATTAAATCTTTCATAGTAGCAAAACAATATTAAATTCATACAAGAACAGAATAATTAGTTTCCTTAGTAACACTTCCGATAAGACTCAATTTATGATGATATTTCAATAAGAGATTTCTAGTCAAACTAGCAACAGAGTGTCAAAAATATAGCAACTGTAAATCAACCAGGCCTTATCAAATCAATAAATATTTGGGGTGAGCTCACAAGGTGCCCGGCACTGTGGAAGGAGCTGAAGGCATAATGATGAACAGAAACACAGCTCTTGTGCTTGTACTTCTTAGAATTACTGGAAGATGAGTGACAGCAAGTACACACACACACACACACATATAGACACATGTACATATGTACATATGTAATTATAAATTTTAAAAATCCATGGGGTAAAAGTGGAGAGTGCTATAGACAAGCTTTAGAAGACAAGCGTGACAAGGAGATCTAATTCAGACTGGACACACAAAGAAAGTTTTCTGTGGAATCCTAAATAGCTGACATGAGCTCAGAGAAGGAGGTAGGTGAAAAGTAGGGGAGGGAGCTGGTTCAAGGGAGAGAAATGGCATGTGTGAAGGCCTGAGTTAGAAGGGTACTTAAACCATTGAAGGACAACGTTATAGGAGCACAGTAAGGAAGAATGACAAGCAACACAGCCCATGAGGTAGACAGGGTCCTGACTGCACAGTATTTTACAGGTTGTGATGGGTAAATGGCCCATGCAAACCAGGACTGTGTTTCAGGAAGTACCATACACTGAATGTGAAGTTAGGCCTGATGATGTCCCGGGCAGTGTAAACAATGTCCCTTGATTCAGGAGATGTACAGGTTTTGTTTTGAGAATCGTAGTTTAAAAATAGGATTGACTGTAAGTTATTTGAAGAAACGCTCTTCTAACCAGGCAATCTCTGGTCCTCTTTAAGTGTAGGTACTGAAAACATTAAGTAGCTGTGAGTTCATTTGCAGAGCTGAGCCTAGGAAGGCAATCGCATCTCCACAGCACACACTGTCTCATTTAATCCTCACAACCAGCCTTTGAGGTGGATATTATGATCTCCATTTTACAGATAAAAACATTTTCAGGGGAAGTATGAATGAATTTCCACTACCTTAGAAAAGGCAAGATTCAAATTTGGGTCCTAGGTTTGTGAAATTTCTACTACAGTGTAGCAATTCCTTAGTGAACACAACTCAAGGAGTATCCCTCCTGAAGTGGGAAGAAAGGTCCTTGTAGATGCCAGTAGTCTTCATTAACTTCATTTGCTCAGTCTTCCCTTAATTTATAAATGCAGGAATTCAAGCATTTCAGCACTTGCTTAATAAAGCATTAATTAAAAACCTAGTAAGACACCCGATAGAACTGAAGAGAGGAAAAGGTGAATGAGAGGGAAAAGGGTAGGGGCATAAAGATGTATGACTCAGGATCTACCTTCAGGGAACTTACATTAGGAAAGCTAAGTCTCATAGACATGTAAGTATAAAATAATAAATAACATGTCAGGTCATAAGAGAAATGCAATAAGAATAATTCCTGCTATGCCTTTGATTTGCTTCACCAGCAAATCCTCTAAGGTGTAGAGCTGAGGGTGAAGAAAGTGGGGAGAAAGCCTGTGGACTGAGTTGAACACGATTAATTCATAGGCCCCAATGTGACCCCTTCTTTTTTTTTATGTCAAGTAAGTCTAGTGAAGAGGAACTGAAATGAGGGAGACTTTACATTTTGTTTCGTTTCGCATGAACAGCAGATTGGTACTGCTAAATTGTTCAGCTTGATAAGAGACTTGGTAAAGGAAGAGGAAAGAGAAGTAGAAGGACTAGATAATGGAGGCTGCAAATATCAGACTATGAAATTTAGATTTTCTGTAGCAGGCAACACAGAAAATCTTGGATCTTGAAGTTTTTTGTTTTTGTTATTTTGGTGGCCAGTTCCCTACACTGAAACAGAATAGTACTTTTTTTACAATTATAGAAATAAATCTTACACATAAAAGATATTAAGGGTTATTGTTTATTTTTCACCCCTTTTAAAGATCTATCACAGGTTCACTCTATGGTTTCCTTAGATTATTATTGTAACAGTATTGTCAGGGGAGTTAATTCTAAAATTAATCCCAAGTAAGTCAACAAAATTGCAGACCAGCCAACATTTGACATATTCAAACATTTACATATTCCAACTGTCCTTCTGACTAGAATTCATTTCCTTTCCCAATCTCACAAAGGAAATAATCTCCTGATGTTTCCCTTGATATGTAAGGTCAAAGAATCAATTGCTCCTTTTCTTTTTAAGAGCATGTCCAACATGGGGCTTTTGAGATCTCTGTAGCCCAGCCATCTTCCAAGTCACACTTTAATAATATCATGACCCGAAACCTTTTGTTTCAAAATTGGTTTTTGCAGGAAATCAAAGGTGGGGGAGGGTCTATATTAAATATTGATCTTTTTAAAGACCTTTCTTTCTCTTGCTCTTTCTCCATTCCTTTCTCCAGAAGCTGAAAGGAGATATAAGTGAAAGGGTTAATAGCCTTTAAAAAGTCCATTCTAAGTGTTCTCTTCCACTTAGGTTTGTTCACTTTTCTCTCGGGTTATAATAATATGGGTTCAGTGCCTTTTCATTGCAAATCTGGAGCAACTAACATTTCTATTCTTCAGGTTATTTTAAACTATCTCATGTGTCTATTAAAAGCATTTTAATAAAATTATATTAACTTACCATATTGACTTTGAGATGGCCTATAAAGCAATAGTCCAATCTAAAATAAAATGCAATTTGAAGAAATAAATTTAGAAAGTATATTATTTGTATCTTATTTCAAGTTTCTCAGGACATGTTTTCATTGTACAATGTCCTTTAAAAATACTAATAATAGCTACCTATTACCTACTCTGCCAGGCCCTGCTTTGCAGAGAGTATAATAAAAACCCCTGTGAGATAAATGTGACAGATATGAATGGAATTGTGTTCCCCCAAATTCTTATGTTGAAGCTCTAACCCCCAATGGGACTGTAGTTTGAGATAGAGCTTTTAGGCAGTAATGAAGGTTAAATGAGATCATGAGAGTGAGCTCCTAATCCAACTAGACTGGTGGCCATTTAAGAACAGAAGAGAGCTCTCTTTCTCCCTGTGATACCCATACACAGACGAAAGGCTATGTGAGGACATAGTGAGAAGGCGCCTGTCTACTAACCAACAAGAGAGCCCTTAACAAACCCCAACCATGCCAGAACCTTGATCTTGGAATTCCAACTTCCAGAACTGTGAGAAAGTAAATTTCTGTTGTTAAAGCCACCCAATTTATGGTATTTTGTTTTAGCAGCCCAAGCTAATATAGGGACTCTCCCCCACTTTGTGGATTAGGAAGCAAGCTTAGAGGTTACTGGCAAAGCTGGCATTGAAGTTGCGTGTGTGTGACTATAAAAGCCCATTCTTTGAATTGTCCTCTGAATTTACAGCCAGAAAACAATGAATATAGAGAGTTTTTTTAAAATACCAAACCCTTCATCTGTTGTTTATTTGTATTTTTATTTTTACTAGACATAGCAGACACACAAGCCAGTTGATTTTGCTCATTCCTATTCATTATCATATGATTTTTGTGTTCTAGCAGGATGTTACTATTTGAGCTCTCAGAATTCCAGGTTAGTGTTGGAAAATGTAACCAATCTTCCCAAAATTGCAATGTTGAAAAATCTAAGATTTACTATTGCTGTATATGATTTTGTAAAACATATTAAATACAAAATATCCAGTTTTATGCCTGAAACTATTGCCAGTGTCCCATTAAGTCACATTAAAATTAACTTCCATTAATTGGATTAGAATTCAGTGAGCATGACAGCTGCTAGTGCCTTTTACAGTTACTGTGTTTCTCTATAGTCCATATGGCAGAAATCACAGAATGTTTTTCTCTCCATTGAAATAAACACTTGAGATAAAAAGGTTTGACTATGTGGTCAGAGTATGTGCATTTGTTTTTCTTTTTAAAAAATTTTGCAGAAACTGAATTATCTTTTTTCCCTTGCTTTCACAGGTTTTCACCAGCTATATTTTTATATTTGATTAGCATTGTTCCATCATTATGGCTTCTTGAAATGCATCATGAGACCCAGGTATGTCCTTTTGGAAAGTAGAATTTTCAGCAATAAACTACTTTTATGGTGTGATCCAATGTGTCAGAAATGCACTTTCTAAGGAACTGTAGTTATCAAGGACTGAGTAAAAGGCTATCAGCAAAAGAAAGTGAATCCATGATCTTTCAAAACCAATAAAAATGTTATATTCATTTAAGACCTAAGGTTACATAATAGCTTAATAATTTGTGTTAGAGATCTTGTTCCTAACACCTCAGACCTAACCCCAGCATCATATACTAGGGTTTATATGGTGGGTGTGTGTGTAAAAATTTTTTTTAACACTTGCATCTTCAATAAGATTCTGTATTGTGCTAAGAAGGGGCAGGAATCAATAACCTAACAACCTATAAAATGACATTTTTAGGAATAGCAAAAACAAAAATGAAATCCCATCCATTGCTTGTACTCTGCTATGTAAATACAATCACTCTTGGAGGGGCTATTTGAAAGCCTATCTAAAACACAGGCTTTGCAGATTGTACGAGATTCACTTTTGAAGTTCCATGAGCTGTCTTAGTGAAACAGGAATTCTACTCTAGAGCCCGAAACTAAGTGGGACCCACTATCAGTAAGGGTGGTCTATTTGTATTAGGACTACATTGGCCTAGAAAATAAACAGTGGCTTCCAATGAGTCCGTTATCTATGTATAGACAGAGGTACTAATTTTCAAGTGAGTTGTTTCTTGTATGGGCAGGCCTGGGTACCAGGCTGTAAGCTGGATTCAGTCATTTACTGTTATAAATGCTTCTGTACAACTCCATGAGGCTCCAACTTCACATCTTCAGGGTTCAGGTTATAGCATTATGTTACAGATCAACTGTAGTTATAATATAATATTATTTTATTACCATCACTGATAAAATGCTTTAGGTAAGATCTGTGAGCATTTGACCCATACAGATTTCTTTGCTACAGTTGGTCATTTTATGGCTAAGTTAAGCCTTTGATGTGTTTCAGATATTCAAACCTTTCTGAAAAATGCTTGCTCCAAATTTTAAGTACACAGAGGGGAACTTATATGAAGAAAAGGTTTATCTGACTTAAATCTTCTCTTGAAAAAATATTAAAGTCATAGGCTATTTCTATTCTATAGAAAGGATATTTTTGTAATAGTTGATTGGTTGGTTCAACTTATCATGGCTTTTAAAACTGTACCATAAGGATTTAGGGGACTATTTCAATTTCCTTACTACTTACTGTTTTGAGGGGTATGGAAATCAGCTCTGGTGATTTGAATCATTTTTTCTTTCATATCCAATTCTATGACATGGCTATCATCCACAGTAACAATTAACTTTTTCCAAATGCTTTTATAATATAAATGCATCACACAGTTAATTGATATACAGGTCAAATCCCATTACAACAAATAGCATGAAACCAAAAGCTCTCTTTTTAATAAAAAAAAAAAGAGTTTTTGAGTCCCGGGCAGTAACTCTCTAATTTTCATATTACAAAAGAAATTAGACCTTTAGTAGTAATGGATTTGACTCATTTTGACACTGAGAATTAAAATGAATATCCAGAGATTGAATTGGGGAGGGTGGGCAGAGACAGAAGTAGAAAAAAGTGAAAGAAAGTGAAACAAACAAAAAAGTACTGGAATTGCATTTAAAGAAATAAGAAATGGCAGGATAAAGGAAGGTACCACAATTCTTAGTCCATTTGTTTAGGAAAGTTTGGTCATGATAATAACCACATTTCTTCATATAATCCGTTTATTTCAAAGCATTTTCAGACGCATTTCTGATTTATGACCTGGCAATTCCACAAGTTAGGCATGGTATACACATTTCTATTTTATAGAAGAGGATTCGGAGCATCAGAAATGTTCATTACTTTTATCAAAGCCACACAGCTATTTGATAACAGTTCTGGTGCTTAGAACCCAGGTCTTGACCCCTACTCTGTTAGACCCCACTGGCTTTATCGCTTATGTGTTCTGTGTTTGAGAGGAGTTTGCATCAAAATCATCTAAATTTTTCATGATGGGAAAGAGTGACTTAATTTCCTCTCACATTTTCCATTTACTCTGCATCCCAACTGTTCTAATATATGACTGGGCATCAAGGAAAACATCCTGACCTATTTCATGAAGACATTTTTCCTAGATGATCAATTCTGTACCTTCACCCCTGAATATGGCTACATCTACATGAATGGAAACAAAATGGTTTTGACAATTACGACCTTAACTCTCAGGTCTAGTTATGAAGTAGTACATTTAAAGCAATGGTCTTGATGGTGTCACAGTCTGGTTTGACCCAAAGGAATATTTTTTAAGATACATAGACCATGAAAAAAGTGGCTTGTTGGCACCCAGATCATCTACATGAACTCACCTATAGAATGCTGAATGTAAACAATATTATCATATAACTGTACAAGTCAGGTTAAGTTTTAGGAGTGAGACCAGTTGGTCTTTTCAGTCCTAACACAACCGTCTCTTAAGGAAAAATCTCATCAGTTTATAAAAAATACAATTTTAATAGTGGGGAAGGACTTAGTTCATAATTTCATAATATGGACAACAAAGCTTATGCTACCAGGTTATCTTATACTGCAGTTCAGGTAACTTTTTTTAAAATAACAGATTTTAAAAACCCAGCCTATGGATTTTTAGTGGTAAGGATGTACAAAACATATCAAGGTTGCCACTTTTAATGTATAATCTACTGTCATGCCTGCAAATGAAGTGATCAAAGTTTGTTTCCTATTGACAGTTTGGTTCCCACAAAACTACTCTGCAATGAGAATTTGTCGCTTGGTTTGAAAATTTAATTATTTCTCTTCATTATCTTTTCTCAGAACCTAGCTGTACAAAAAACAGTGTGCAAACAGCTGTAATTTTGCTCCTAATAATATGGCATATGGCCATTTTTCTTTATTACTCTTGTCATTTCACCCATAACACTAGTTATTTTGATGGAGGATAGAAAAAAAATAGCTTCTTGACAGACTTTCTTTTCTAATTTTTCAAGTAGCTCATAGAATTATTGATGAGAAAACCAGAATGATTAAGAAGAATATATTTCTTACAGCTTTAACATTACAAAAGTTGTTTCTCTCTCAATCCAAATGTATGATTGTGGTTGTGTCCTTGGTGGTGGTGCTGGTGGTGGTTGTGGTGGTGGTGGTGGTGGTGGTGGTGTGTGTGTGTGTGTGTGTGTGTGTGTGTGTTTCAAGCGTATATTACCCTGCAGATGTTTAAAACAATTTCTAACCTTTTTCTTACCCATTTGTGCAATAATCATTGGCTACAGTTACATTTTCAAGTTTCAAGTGTCACCCTTTCTTCTCTTATATGCTTTTTCTTGTCTTTCTCTACCTCAGATTCTTAGCATCTGGCTAGATAAAAATCATGCATTGTTCACTTACAGAAATTTACATACAAAATGAAGCAACAATAAAGGGAAGAAAAATCACTTGTTTAGTCCACTGTCAATTTTTTTATAAACCTAAATTGACACTAACATGTATACTTTGGTGGGTCTGTAATTTTTTTGGTTCTTACAGTGCTTAACTGGAAGGACTGAAAATAATTGACTTACCTACTTAAGCAAATGCCATTTTTGATAAACAGGTTTCTAGACAAAAAACAAATTCTTGGAATGAAAGCTTTTACCAGAATTATACACGTTTAATGCTGTCGTTAGTTTCTTGTTTGTCATACAACTGTTCCAAAGTTCAGGAAAGGAACCCCAATTATCTATCCAAAATTCTATAGCTTTTCACAATGAACTCAGAGTGTCTACATCCTCATAGACTTGTGGAAAAATAAAATGTGCAGTTGACACTCTTCTAATAATAACTGGAAAGCAGTTTTCTTTTTCAACCCTATAATTTGATTTTTGGAAATATTTATGCATACCATTTAAACTCTTCATATCTGCTCATAATCTCTTAGATACATTGAAGCCATATTAAATTTTTACGAATTGTGGTATTTTTTGACATAATTGCCTTTTTACAAAATTCTTAGTATTGCAGTAGCCAATTTGAAGGAATGTTACAGAATAACAGTGGCAAAGACTTCAATCAAACTCTGATGTCAAGTGAACAAACCAGTGAAGCAGATGATCTCATTGAGACGGTAAGAACTTTTTCCATCATATATATGAGGATAGAGCACATCATCCTCTCACTTAAGGAGGATAACATGCTCTACACCTTTCAGCTCATTCTTTCCTAAGGATATCTGACAATTGTTTGGCTCAGGAATTCACAAAATAATCATATTTTTATATTTATTAAACATATTTAACATGCATAATAGGCAGATATATATATGTATGTATATATACATATTATATAAATAGATATATACTTAACTTGAAGCATTAAGAAGCCTTTTAATCCTTCAACCCTTAGGTCAGACAATATATGCACAAAGAGAGATACATGTACTTGTGAAGGAATGATATATTAAAAGATTTGGGTCTGTCCTATATATATTTTAGGTGTTTATATTAATAAAACTGGGAAGTTCAACCTTTAGGTCAGTCTTGGAAGTTTGTATTTTTCTAGGAAGTTGTCCATTTCTTCTAGGTTTTCCAGCTTAGCATTTAGGTTTTCATAGTAGTCTCTAATAATTCTTTGTATTTCTGTTGGGTCCGTCGTGATGTTTCCTTTCTCGTTTCTGATTCTGTTGATGTGTATTGATTCTTTTTTTCCCTTAATAACTCTGGCTAGAGGCTTATCTATTTTGTTTATTTTCTCAAAGAACCAGCTCTTGGTTTCATTGATTTTTTCTATTGTTTTATTCTTCTCAATTTTGTTTATTTCTTCTCTGATCTTTATTATGTCCCTCCTTCTGCTGACTTTAGGCCTCATTTGTTCTTCTTTTTCCAATTTTGATAATTGTGACATTAGACTATTCA